AAGTAATTAAAGGACTTTCTATCTTTGGCCTATTTTCTGAAGAAACAAATATCTTCTATTTCTGATTTTTTTAGAATCCCAATTCAAACCATTGACTGAGGAAATCCTTATGACTGTTCCAAGGAGTATCAGGAGTACTGTTAAACTAGCAGACCTGAACAATTTGTACAAAGAGTTATTTAACCACTTCGTTGTAAATAAGAACAGGTAAGAATTAATTCCATTCATTAGTGAGAATTTTGTAAGCTGTAAAATTCAGGCTTTTCAAAGTAAACAAAATCAACTAGTTAACCACTTTGCTATATTGCAACTTCATAACTTGATTTACTCCCCTGCATTCTAAGGTACATGCCCCAAAACTCAAATGTCAGGCTCTTCAGAAACATTTTTTCACTCCAGTTTCACTTTACAGATGTCCAAACCTCTTGTCTGTTTAGGAAGGTTTTGCTGACACAGTCATACTGCTAAACCTTTTGAGCTGTTGGAATCTGCATCCAGACTGGAAAAGCAAAGCCCTAATGCTAAAGCAAGACTCCTGAACCCTGCCCTCCCCTCATCAGCCCTTCCTGCCTCCCCGAGCCCTGACCCATCTGGGATGTGTGCTGTGGATTTCTTGCAGGCTGAGGTTAAAAATGAGGAAGTTTCCAATTCAGGAATTCTCTTCTGTCTCTTTAACCCTACGGTTGGATTAGCAAGTGACTGTCCTCAGTTCAAAGTAGCAGAAAAGTTGATGACAGCCTGGATAAGCATGAGGATTACAGAACACTCACAAAAAAGCATTAATTAAACTGTATGCACTTTTTAGCCTTTTTCTGCCAGGCTTGATGCCTGATACCCTGTTTTGCTAAATAGTTTGCTTTTGTCTTGCAGAACTGCACTGAGTGTGTCACAGATGAACAAGATGAATATGAAAGCCACTGACTCAAGAATAAGAATCTTGAAAGAACTTGCTATTGTGGAACTTGACAAACAAGGAAATGTTAAATTAGTTGTGTAAATGGCAGCTCAGTCCATCCTCCTTTGATACAAGCAATTTTGTCATAGCTTCTGGATTATTAATAAGGAAGTATTTCTCTGGTGTCTAGGAGTTATAAGTCCACTGTTGGAAAGCTGTTCATATTTCTGTATACAAATTCCATTTATAATACTTAACACTGGAGGGTTAAAAAACATTGAGCTGGTATTTTACTTTGGCTATTTCCAGGACTATATTTGGTGCATTTTTTAAGAACATTGTTAGCCACATAACACTACCCACTGGGTAGCTCCCTTAAAGAAAATATATGAATCGGTGTAAATGTGGCTCTGTGCAGCTGGTGGGACTGCTCTGAGCTCTCTTACTGTCAGTTCCTTTCCCTCTTTCACTTACTCTTTTCCCTGTTGCTACCTCCAGTGCCACAGCCTTATAGTTCCCCTCCCTTTGCTGCCTATAGGATGCTGAATCAGTGAACCATACTCCCTTAAGATCCCTGTCCTCCTTCAGGGGAGGTGCTTCCCGATTTGGAGAGGGTTTTTTTAGTGGGGCTTGGAACAACAAAGTGCTGTCTGTAGCTTGCTGCAATTTAGATGCTTTACTATTGCCCTCCACGACAGGCATGATTTCATGAATGCCTTCCAGGTACACAAACCCTTTGCAGCCTGTTGGTGTCTGGGCCGTGCTGCCTCTTAGTGCTGTGCCCTTATGAACCATGGCCAGAATTTTAAAAGGTCTGCCAGTTACTGTCTTTTGATCCTGTCATATTCTTTCTGTTGTAATGCTAAAGAGTGCAAACTCTTTTGAGATGCAAATATCTTAGTCTCACTGTCAAAAAGAGTCAGAGCTAAATTCCAGGGGGGTCTCCAGCTCTTCTGGTTTCTTTTGCCACAGATTACAATGGCAACTGTGGACAGGCCTGTCATGTGTATGTGATCTAGCTTCTGGAACAGTCTTTAAGTTCTGCTATTAACAATTCTAAGGTGTTCTCATGTTGTTCTGTCCATTCCTGGTGGGTTCTTAAGACAAGTAACCCAAGCCACTTAATTGTACTCACATTCCTGAATAAATGATGAAAGCTAAGGAGACAAGGCCACAGATTTATTACATTTTTTGTTTACAAGACTCCTGAGCCCTGCCCTAACTTCTGAACCTGGTCCCTGACCCTTTTCATTTTCCTCTGATGTGAACTGGCTGTATTTTTTTGCAGTCCAGTAAAATTGCAGACTTGCAGAATAGCTGCAGTTGGAATGGACCTCTGGAGATTGTCCAGACCAAACCCCTCCCTAGAGCAGGACCAACTGCAGTGGGTTGCTCAGGGCCATGTCCTGAAAAACTCCCAAGGATAAAGACTTTACAACCTCTTTCAGTGTCTGACCACCCTCAGAGTAAAAAAAAAAAAAAGAAGAAAGGGGCTTTTTTTCCCCCACTTACATTGAATGTTTTAATGCTTCTTCAGCCTCATTTGAGAGAGTAAAGTATCTGAAGTTTTATTCTTACTTTTTCTTGTGGAAAATGATTGCTGTCAAAGGAGAGAAATTTAAATTAGTGGCCTTAAGAAGGGAAAGGCCAATTTCTGTGCTCATCAGTGAACTGGTTGGTCTGATTCAGAATTTGTTGGGAAGCAAAATAGGGTGCATATTGAAGAAGAATTGGCCACTGATTTGATATTTACGCACGTAGACTTGACCAAATGGGTCTATTTCAATACAAGACTCAATCCTTACTCTCCGGGTCTAAAAGATTTCATGTATTCGTGAAATCTGGGCCGAAGAATTCAATATACTCGTTAGTCGGGAAAGGGGGGCAATTTAACTGCGGCCGCAGCCTCCGGGACAGGCAGCAGCTGCTTCCAAAGCCCCGTGAGCTGTGAAACCCCTCCCTGCAGGTGGGTTTTGTGTAGCGCTGCCTCGCTCGCACTCACACCCCCCCCCTGCCACGAGCAGCGTGCCAAGATTTTCTGTCTAGAAGCCCAAGAGCTGCAAAATCCCTCTGAGAACGCAGCAGCTTCCCTGCCCGGACCCTGCGCTCAGCGATGCCGCTGCTGCGAGGGC